ACAGCAGCTGGCATTACACTGGGATTTATTCATAGCTATCAGTAGAAAGCTCTCTACATGCCTTAAATTAATGGATTCTGGTGTCATCTGACCCCTATCCCAATTCTTTGTCTCTCATTCTTCTTCTTTACTTTTAGAATTTAGTCAGTTCTGTTGGATTATTGATGTTTCATAATGTGCCGGGTAGGATTTATTATTCTATTTGAAGTTCCAATGAAATTCCCGTTTTGAGTAGTTGCATGAGCATATTTGTAGTGGATCAATGGATGCGGTTGTTGTGGAAGAAGCATGAAGCATGGCTAGTTGGTTTGTTGCACTGATTTGTTTTTATTGTGGCTGTTATTAAATTTTAATTGCCAATGCTGATTTATTTTATTAAGTGTTGATGAGGTTATGCATTGCCTATTTGAATCTTTCTTGGTTGAGTTCTCATATCTTTAATTTAGAATGATGAGGCATCAAAGGTATATCCGCAAGCAACAGATGCTTCCAAGGTTGTTACATGGTGTTTCAATAAGGAGATATCCATAGACAACTCCTGCACAACATCTTAGAAAAAGAGAATCTTTCACGCGGTCTAAGGTTTCAACCCAACTAGTCATGTATATATATGAAATTACCCTTAGCTTGAAAAAATATGCGGACAAGAGGAGAAATATTTGGATGGTGTGACTTATTTTTATGATTCATGGTTGATTGTTATAGTTTGTTTTGTTTTCCTCAATAATGTAATCATCTAGATTTCTATTGGAAGAATTATGCTGGTGATTGCCAATAAGTCACTGATCCACACATGGATATCCAGATTTCTCATAACATCAAAGATGGCCAAAAGATTCTCAGGCAACCGATGTTATGATTTTCTCTATTTATGCTTGAGGTGAGAGAGCTTTTAGAAAGCTGCTTATTTATTTTTTATTTTTGTTTTTGTGTTGGAATTCAATTGTCATATTGCCCACTGTCTCTCTCTCTGTTCTATGACAGGGTGCAATAACCATTAGTAATTTGTGTAGCACATTTGAGAGATTTGATGTAGAAGTATAAAGTGAGTAGGGTGGATCTACATATGATATTTATTAATTTCTAATTTAGGAGGTTGTCTAGGGTTTGCTTTTCATCTTTTTCCTGTGCTTTGTTGATGTTGTTTTTCCTCGTCGCGATTTCTTCATGGCTGCTTTGGCTTCATCTGCTTTGTGTGAAATGGTTTTTGATAGAGTTGCTAAAGCAGCTTCTTCGACTCCTTTGAAGGCAGCAAATCGGAAGTCGTGACAGGAGCTTGCTCGTTGCATAGGTAAGAATCTTCGCCTCCTTGAAGATGGGAGCTCGTTTGCCTGCTATGGAAGAACTTCTCAAATCTATAAATTCCGTTAAATCTACCGATCAACAGGATTTAGTTAATCACGGATTTATGCCGTAAATATTTAAATTGAACATTTACGATCGATTTAGATTTTTTGCATGATCTAAAGCTGTTTGGTAGGATTTACGACAAATCCTGCTTAAATCACGCTACCAAACAACTCCTTCGGTTTACCGTCGGATTTAACATTGCGTTTTTTGGCGTTTGGCTGGATTTAGCTTAAATCGTGCAACCGAACAGGTCTTTAGAGCTAACTATTTTGGCATTTTAATGGTTAGTTATTGTGGCATATTGGCATGGTAGCTTGCTTTCTACTATCCTATTATCTTTTATCTTTCTTTATCTGCATTGCATATCAAAAGGCTTTTAAATACTTGTGGCAACTTTATCTTCTTACAATGTTCATTATTTTTGGGGGAATGAAGCATTATTCTTGTTGTGTCTTGGAGTATTCCTGGTGGTAGATAAATATAAAGTTTAGCGTCTTAACTTTATAAGATGAACATGCACACATACAGATAAAAGAGTAGAGGTATAGCGCTAATAATAGACACCATGATTTTTTCGTGGAACGTGGAAAATCCTGTAAATTTTTCTTCAGATTCGTGCCCGATCAAGATAATTTTTTGATGATATATCAATTCTCAATGCTATTATGTGAGGTTTTGTCTCCTACATATGAGTTTCATGCAGAGCATGATGATGATGATGATTTAATGATTAGCGACTATCCTCACATGGATATCCCTTTGTTTCTTAGCTGAGATATGGAATCTTTGGATGTCCTACCGCTTTTGAGACAACGACACCGGGCATTAACATGTGGATTCATACGTAGCTATCTATAGAAAACTTCTCTGCTTGTCTTATTTTATGGATTTTGCTGTCATCTGGCACCTATCCCTAGTCTTGGTCTCCCATTCTTCTTCTTTACTTTTGGAAGACTGTTAAGGATGGTGAGACATTTTTACAATTAACGGCTGATAGTTATGGTTGTCTTTTGCTTGCTTCAGTACTGTAATCATTGAGATTTTTCTTGGAAGAATTTTGCTGGTGATTGCCAACATGACTGATCTTCTAGAAATCTGGTTTCGTATACTCATTTTTCAATGGCAAACATCAAGGATGGCCTGAAAATTCCCAGGCAACCGATGTTGTGATTTTATCTATTTGTGCTTGAGGTGATAGGACCTTTAGAAAGCTGCTTATTTATTTATTTTTTATTTTTGTGCTGGAATCTAGTAGTGATATTGCTCTCTTTCTCTCTCTCATAAAGCACGGGGCAATAACCTTGGTAACTTGTTGAACATTTTTTTTTTCATTATATATATATATTAGATGTTTGACGGAGCAGCATTGAGAGTATGGAGATTGCAAATATGGTATTTATTGATTTAGTGAAAATATATGATAAAGTTTGAAAAGAAATGCCTTGGAGAGTTCTAAAAAAGAATGGAGCTTATTATGCTTATATTCAAGTCTTTAAGGCTATATATACAGGTGCTGTTACTCGTGTTCAAATACAGGTGATTTGACCAAATTTTTCCATAGTTGGAAAATTTTACAAGGTGGTGAGACCTATAATGTTTTGTGATGCATAATGTTGGTTATTAAAAGAGAAGCATAAAATTTAGTGTTGCAGTGATGAGGATGAAATGGCGTAGGGGTGTCTATTTTTGTCTCGAGCCGAAAACATAATCCGGACTTGTCCCAGAAAGTCTAAATTTGGGTGAAACCGTTTAACAAACTGGTGGGATTCCAGTTCTAATTTCTTTTGGGGAGGGAGTGACAATTATTGCAAACCATTGAAAATTTGGCCATGTTTGATTCTTTACAATAGCAATGAGGCATCATGGATGGCATGAAGCAGTACCTAATTCTATGTTGTTGTTTACCTGCAGGTTCTAATGTTGTGCCAGATTCTTTGCTATTAAATACTTCCCACAGTACTTCCCTGTATGTGTGCGTATATCCATTCAAATATAAGTATATTAATATGAATATATAAAAACTGTGCATATATTTTACAATGCGCAAACACGTAACTATGGTGCCTTTACATGTCAGTTGAAGTAGCATTTATTATTGAATTCTTATAAGAAGTCTTAGTATAAAATATGAGCACTTTTTTTATTCCCTTATGTAAGATATTCCTTTTTTGGGACATGGAGTTCTGTGGTGCCTAGGGGAAAGAAGGGATGGTGTCGATGTCAGGAGGGAAAAATCTTTCTACTTTTTTTCTCATAGAGGATGTGATGATGAGAACTTTTATTACATCTAGTGAACGTACGCTCCTTTACGTTCGGTTTTAGACCAAAACAGCGCAATACCGAGTTTTTTTAAAAAACTCGGTACAACTCGGTACTCGAAGCGCAAGGTGACGCGGCAAATTTTTATTGGCTGTCCGAACTTATCTTTTGGCTCCGGTCACCTGACCCAATAATTTGCCCGATGTCAGGAGGGAAAAATCTTTCTACTTTTTTTCTCATAGAGGATGTGATGATGATGGCTTGCACATCTACTGGCTCAGTAGCCATGATTGAGTGTTTTCTGTATTGCGCTTTCTACATAGCTTTGTTTTACAACTTTCAAAAAATATTTAGATCTTTGACGGGTTTCTAAACATAGCGCCAACCCTATGTTTAAAATGAATGAAATAGCGGATTAGGTCGGGTCTTGTCGGGATGGTATAAATTAAATTAAAAGATTATATTAAAGAAATTCCACGCGTATTCATCCACATATTCAGTTTTTATTTGCATCTGAATGCAGAGTTACGTCCGGTGTCCGGGCTAAATAATTTACCCATCATCTTATCTTAGCCTTCTTCTTCTTTCGTTTTGGGTTTGTGGTCTCACTATTTGGTGGATTGTGGCCGTCTCCATTCTAATTTTAATGTGTTGGTGGAATTCTGAATTGACCGTTTTGCTATGAAGAAAGAAATTAAAATTTCGTTGAAGAATAAAATCATTCCCATTTTCTGCGGGATGTACTATCAATAGCATAAATGCAATTCAGAAGGCCTAATTATATATCAGATATAGATTAGTGCTATACTCATAAAAGGTAAATACTAAATTTAGTATGATTCTCTTATTTATGTGTTAAGAATTCAGAACTGGGAAGTGTTGATAGAAATTTAGGAAAACCTTGATTATCTCGTGTTAAATAAATTATTATTAATTATTTTTGAATTATTCATTTTCATTTAATTATCTCATTAATTATTTAAATATTTTATTAGAAATTAACTATTTATTTATTATTTATAATTTTTATTTGAAATTATATTTAGTCCTATTAATTTTTTAGAAATAATTAATTATTTAACTAATAATTCTACTAATAATATATTTATTTTGTTAATTTTAATTATGAATTATATTATTAATTATCTAACTAATAACTTAAAATTTATCACATTTGTTATTTAAATATTTGTATACTATTAATTAAATATTTAATGAAGTAGATTTTTAATTATATTAATTAACTTCATATTAAATTTTATTTTATTATTATACTAACCATTTATTTAAGTTATATTAGATGATTAATTTACGCAATAATTATTCTTTTTATTTATTTTATTAAATTACCTAATTATTAATATTTTAATTTTTATGAATTAAATTAACCTGTAATAGCTATGAGGCTTCCAGGGTTTGCTGTTCATCTTCTCTTTTTCCTAGTTGCTGTTTGGCTTCCTTCGAACGTGTCAAGATTGCGTTAGTCGCTGCTTCGGCTCCTTTGTTGTTGTTCGACTTCGCTCCATCGACGTTATAACATTTTGATCGGAAGCAAAGAAGGGAGCTCCGCGGTGAAGCTAACTTTCTCCCTTACGAGCGCTTCGTAGGCCAAATTCTGTAAATCCGCCGAATTACAGGATTGAGTAAATCCGGGTTTTACGGCAAAAAGAGGTAAACAGTTGATTTATTCCGCCGTGAGATTTAGGGGGCGCTCGAATCCCGTTTGGCTGGATTTAGCGTAAATCCTGCATAAATCCTGTTGCCAAACCGCCCATAAGTGTTTATGCCGTGATGCATTGACTATTCGAATCTTCCATGGTTGAGATTTCATATCGTTATTTGAGAATGACGAGGTATTAAAGATGACCTGATATCTGCAAGTAACAGATGCTTCCTCCCTTTTTTTATTAGGGCATGAGTTGAGAGGACAGCTTGAAATCTTTTTTTTTATTGAGTGCATGTGGCGTTTTTGGATCTTTTTATTGTTGCTCCATGCAACAACATTGGTAAATCAGGCTATCAACTGTGCATGGCGGCTATGAGATGTTCCTATGTTTTTATTGTATGAGTTGTCTGGATGGCCTGGAGCTTTTCAGGCAACTATAACTCCCATTAGCTATGGTGTAGAATGTTGGCTATTGAAAAAATGCTTAAAGTGTTGCATATGATGAGGATGTTGAGGCAGACAAGTAGCTTTACACTTAGAGATATAATGCAAAATGAATATGACGTGAAAAGGTTGGAGTAACTGCATTGATAGATGTGATTAGAAAAAATCATGTTAAATGTTTGGTCACGTAAAAGGTTGGCCTATGTTGCACCGATACGGATACGGCGGCACGGGTACGACACGATTTGGATACGGGGTACGTCTATTCTTAAAAATAAAGGATACGAATAAGACGCGGATACGACATTATAATATATTAATCATACAAAAAACAAATTAATAGGTTTTTGATAGACCATCATTAGACTCAATTCCTAGGCCACTAGAGCTCATTATCCTACGATGTATCGACACAAATTAAATCACATGAATTTGAAACATAAAATTTTTTAAGTAAAAGTGTAGATATGGTGCAAATATGCTGGGGGTCCATTCGGTACACCTCGGTACCAAGCTGTACTGAGCATGGTACTGAGCGGTACCGAGTTTCGGTATCGGGCGGTACCGAACATTACCGAGTACCGAGTGGTATCGAGTATCGAGTGATACCGAGCAGTTGCGATAAAAGGACACGCGTATTCGATACTTGTATCCGGTCAAATTTAAATAATATTTTATTTGGACACTACAAAGCCGTATCCGACATGTATCCATGTTGTATCGGAGGCGTATCCGTATCCGACACGTGTCTGATACAACATGCGTCATAAATAGGAGTATTTGTGCTACATAAATGTCGGCCTATTTTGATGATCTTATTAGGAGAGTAGATATATTAGATCTAATCCGTGTTAAGAAATGTATAGATAGATCTTAAAAGACTTGTTTTGCAAGTATTAAATTTGATACTTTTTATTAGATTTAAATGAGAATTTAACTCTTAATAGAGCACAGTGGAGAAAAAGGAGATGGGGCCGACTTCATGTAGTGGGATAAAAGCTTGTTGTTGTAGATATTGATGATCTTGAAAGATGCTCAAAATATCATACTAGCAAGCCAAGTGACACTACATCTCCTTATTCATTACATTATAAAGTCAAGGGCTTGTTACCATTCTATTTCATATGCATGTTGGTGGAATCTCACAATCTCTTCATATGAAAGTTAAATTGAAATTGCACTGATGGGGGATAATATTTTTCATTCACAGATGGAAATTATATCTTTTGCCTAATCTTCACCATGAAATATTTTTTAAATGGACCAGTCATACGGCATTTCTCAAGATTAGCGGCATTCACAATACTTAGTAGTGTGCTGAGATTATCTCTTTTATGAGTGAAAAGTTTTGAGGGCAATGATGATGATGATTTGGACTTCTACCATTGATTACTCATGACAATTATGAAATATCGCTATGTTTCTCAGGATATGGCATGTTTGAATGGTCTGGAGCATCTCAGGCAGCTACATCTTCCATTTGCATGGAAATTAAAGTGTAGTAAAGCTCCTCTACTTATCTTATGTCATGTAAGCCTTTGTTTTTTGGTTCGTCTTTTCTTCTTCTCCCACTTCTTATTCTTGCTCATTATTCTTGAAGCATACGTTCAGTTGTTGTGCCTAGCTCTCCCTAATTATCTATTCACTAAACAATTAATCTCCAGCTTCTGTTGCTATGATTGTGACAATATATCTATCATCAATTCTTGCTGCTTAGCTTTGCTATGTTTCTCTGGCTATTAAATGACAATATATCCATCAACAATTATTGCTAACCTTTGACAATTTGGCTATGTTTGATTCTTACTCTACTCGAGTAATGAGGCATCACGGATGGCATAAAGCTCTTCTAGCAACTTACTTGTAGTGCTATTAAATACTTCCAACAGTATTTTTTCACCAATGTTGCTGCTACTACAAGCACCTACTTCTATTTAGTTTACCTGCATGTTCTAACTTTGTGTCAGATTCTTTGTAGCAGTAGGAACAGGAGGCATTTGTTTGGAACACGCTTGCAATACATTATTTTGGAACACGCTTGCAATACATTATTGTTGTTTGTTCATTATAGAGCCTTTGATGATTTCCCTTCTCTATGATTCTTAGTTTTTTTAATATACACCTATATATTTTTGCAAACATATACTTTTGCAAGTTTGGATATCAATTATTTGCTTATATCTCTCTCGGTCAAGCTGCAAAGCTTGGTTTTCTAGTTTATCTGGTCTGTACTTGCTCTTTTTTATGAGGTGATGAGCAGCATGATGAAAGTTTTAATCTGCTGCTGAATATTCTTATTTCTCAACGAAGTAAATATGTCAAACAAATTTTATTGCCGGTCATAAGTGGTGTATCCTATATCAGTGGGTTATTTCATCAAGTGCATCATTTTCAGGATTTTATTGTTTTCATTTATATGACGAAGGGGCGCCACCTTTATAATGGATTCAAGAAATTTTGCTAGTGATGTGGAAATAATGCTACTGCTCTTTATATCTCTATATATGCCAGTTTCATTTTTTATGCATTGGTGGTTGATCAAAAAGGTTTTCAAAGGGCAACCAGTTTTGCTAAATATTTATTTTCAAGGATTATTTCTTGATGATTGATGAGAACTTTTACTTTCTCTATGTGATATTGATAGGCCGGCCCCTCCTTGTCAGGTTGAACCGGTCCTTAGTGGATCGGTTCTCACCTATGGCAGCCCAAGCTGGGCGGAACCAGAGAAGAGAGGGAGGGGGCGGATGCTCCTAGAGGGGGCCCACATGCTAATTTAATTTGCTTTGGAGGGATTTTTTGAATTAGGGGGGCTGTTTAGTAAATTTGTAATTGTCCTTCGTCTTTAATTTATTTTCCTTGGGGAAGGGTTAGGGTTTATGTTTGATTTGGTTTTTTCTTGGAGTTCCTTGGCGTCTTGTGATCTAGACTACCTTGTCTAGAGATTATGGAGAGACGATCCTCCTCTCGAATTGAGGTTCCCTTGTATCTTGTTTTCGTATTTGTTTGGCTTTGATTATCGTATTACAATCCATTGTTTTTTGGCAAATTTCACCTAGGTTTTGCATTATTCTCGCTGTTGTCACCAATTAGTGATTGGTTTGCTTGCAAACTCAAGTATTTCCCTTAGGGTTACTTGTGATCTTAAGTATTTCCTATAAAATATTTTCTTCTGATGATTCTAGTCTCCTCTATCTTCATCACTCATTATCTCGGAGTCTGTTAGTTGTGATAATACCCAGCTTTGTGCAATGTTGTTAGGCAATGGTAGCACGTAATTATTTCTATTTACTGGTTTGAATTTTTTTCTACAATACATGTTGTCAATGCATGCTCTTGAATTTAGGTATCATTTTTACATTATAAGGTCTTTGGCTTTCTAAGGTCATCTCCAACCGAGAACTCTATTTTTCACGCCAAAATACCGCAAAAAGCAAAAATGGCGTGATGCTGCTCCAATCTAACGCCATTTTTTTGCTTCTGCGCCAAGGTAACGACCATTCTCCTTTCCCGCATTTTTCCGGTTGACAGAGAAAAATGACGTGGGTGAACAGTGCAACGCCAATTGGCGTTGCACTGTTCACTGATCTTAAGTATTTCCTATAAAATATTTTCTTCTGATGATTCTAGTCTCCTCTATCTTCATCACTCATTATCTCGGAGTCTGTTAGTTGTGATAATACCCAGCTTTGTGCAATGTTGTTAGGCAGTGCTAATTATTTCTATTTACTGGTTTGAAATTTTTTCTTCAATACTTGTTGTCAATGCATGCTCTAGAATTTAGGTATCATTTTTACATTATAAGGTCTTTGGCTTTCTAAGTGGATTCACCATATTACATTAAGTTGCGCTTTCTAAGTGGATTCACCATATTATATTAAGCTGCGCGCATCTTTTCTTCTACTCTCGCATTCGGGAACAATTATTACGTCCTCTGACCAGACGTACAGTTGCGGCCGGCCGCCAATAACATGTAGCCACGTGCCCTTACTCTTTACCGTGCTGCCCGACGACTTGACCCGGACCGGAACCCGGGAATGCTATGTTCGCGTATTACTCAGTATTACTCGGTATTTGCTCGGTATTGCTTGGTATTGCTCGGCAATAACGAGAAATACCGTTCTGTGAAGACCAATACCGAGCAAATATCGAGCAATACCGAGTTTTCTAGAAAAATTCGGCACAACTCGGTATTGCTCGGTATTACTCGGTATTGCTCGGTATTACTCGGTATTGCTCGGTATTGCTCGGTATTTGCTCGGTATTGGTGCCGAGTTTTCCATTTTTTAAAAAAGTGCTTAATTTGTTTTCACTCATTTTGAGTGAGAATACAATCCTTCTCACTTTTGAGGTGTTTTGAAACTATTTTTAGAGTTTTCTGTAGGTGTCACTGTTTGCTAAATAAAAAGATAGGAGTGATAAGGATTTTGCTCAAGTTCGAATATTTATTGCCAAAGGGATTGTGTAAGAATCGTAAAGAAACTGGAAGAAAGAAGATAGAAATCGTATTATTCTGATCAGCTATTACAGACGTTTGGCAGGTCTATATGTACGGATTGCCAGTACGGCTCAAGAAGCCGAAGACCAATAGGAAAATGACACCTTGCATTTCATTTAATTTAATACAATGTATAGACCAACGATTTATATGGAGTGTTCTAATAATGCTTTGTTCGACTTTGCCTGCTTCGCCTGAAAGGTATAGTTTGGAACGAGTCGCCAAATGACTTCTTTGCCTCCTTCGACGTTCATTCCTCTCAAATCCCAAGTCATGTCAGTTCGCCGTTCTCATTTTAGCTTATATTAATTATGTTCAATTAGACTATGTAGATTAATTTCATCGCATAGGCGTTTAGGGTTTTGCTTTACATCTTCGTCGTTGCTGTTCGACTTCGTTGCTTCGCGTGAGGCATGGTTTTTACACGAGTCGCTTCTTCGGCTCCTTTGTTGCTGTTTGACGTCGCTCGCTCGACGACGTTCCCTTCCTGTCGGATCGAAAGTAACGACATTTTAATTGGAAGTAACTACTGAGAGCTCGTTTCCTGTAAAGGAAATTATTTTTCTCCCTTTCGCGCGCTTCTTCGGCCAAATCCCTAAGTCTTGTAAATCAGCAAAACTTTAGGACTTATTAAATCCCGGATTTACGGTCCAGTGAGGGAGACGGAGGATTTATTCCTCCGTGAAATTTAGCGGGTGTTTAAATCCAGTTTGCAGGATTTGGAAAAAATCCTGCTCAAAATTGGCATAAATACTGTTAAATCATTTATCCGAACAGCCCTAGGGATTAGCCACTATCGACGCATGGATATCCCTATGTTTGCTATTTTTATTATCTAGAATTTTTGGATGCCCTGCAGCTTATCAGGCAACAGCAGCTGGCATTACAATGGGGATTTATACATAGCTATCAGTAGAAAGCTTTCTATATGCCTTATTTGATGGAATTTGCTGTCATCTGACACCTGCCCTATTCTTTGTTTCTCATTCTTCTTCTTTACTTTTGGAATTTAGTCAGTTCTGTTGGGTTATTGATGCTTCATAATGTGCAGGGTATGATGCATTATTCTCTTTGAAGTTCCAATTAAATTCCCGTTCTGAGTAGTTGCAGATGAATATTTATAGTGGATCAATGGATGAGGTTGTTGTGGAAGAAGCATGAAGTACGCCTCGTTGGTTTTTGCATTATGTTGTGTTGTTGTGCCTATTATTATTTTTAATTGCCAGTGCTTATTTGTTTTATTAAGTTTTGATGCCACGATGCATTTGCCTATTTGAATCTTCCATGGTTAACTTCTCATCTCTTTAATTGAGAATGGCGAGGCACAACAATGACCTTATATTCTGCAAATAATAGATGCTTTCAATTTTTTTTATAAGGGCTTGAGCAAGGAGGACAGCCTGAAAGCTTTTTATCTTTTTCTCTTTTTCTATGATAAAGTTAAGGAGTTGTCGTTGGATATCTCTTTATTGAAGTTCCATGAAACTACTTTGGTAATTCAGAAGAATTTTAATCCATCCACACCCCCTCCCTCTCTCTCTCTCTATATATATATATATACACACACACACACACACACATGAACATACATACAAACATAACATGCATATATGTTTGATAATCTAGTTGCAGTCAAATTGCCCTTAACTTGAAAAAATATTGTATTTGTTTGGAAAATGAGGAGAACTATATGGATCCTAAGACATTTTTTTACAATTAGTTGCCGATAGTTATAGTTGTCTTTTTGTTTAAGTCAGTAATGTAATCATTGAGATTTCTCTTGGAAGAATTCTGCTGGTGATTGCCAACAAGTGACTGATGTTCTTGAAATCATGTTTCTTATACTCATTTTGCATTGGTGAACATCAAGGATGGCCTGAAAATTCTCAGACAACCGATGTTCGGATTTTACCTATTTATGCTTGAGGTGAGAGGCCCTTTAGAAAGCTGCTTATTTATCTATTTATCATTTTTTTGCTGGAATCTTGTAGTCATATTGCTTTCTCTCTATCTCTGTCATAAAGCGCGGTGCAGT